ATTATTAAAGATGGCCAACTCGTTACAACTACCCAGCCCACCATATATAAAAAAAGAAAATGTGCAATGCCTGTTTCAGCCAAGTCTCTACATTGACATGTTCATTGTTATGTCTCATACATATGCGGTTGTGGCTTATACAAATGTGTCTGTACAACTGTTATTGCACTGAAAATAAAGAATTAAAAAAATAAAAACAGGCAAAGGGACCTTAAAACAAGGCTGCTGCACACCTCACATTTTAAAGGGATCCTATAGTGCCAGGAAAACAAATCCGTTTTCATGGCACTATAGGCTCTTAGAGTGCCCCCCTCTGTCAGCGCTGAAGGGGTTAAAACCCTTTCAGCCACTTACCTTAATCCAGTGCCGGGCTCCTTTGGTGCTGGTGACCTCTCCTCCCCGCCGACGTCAGCTCCCGAGTGGAGCCAGAGGCGCGCGCTCATTCAAGCCCGCTCATAGGAAAGCATTACTCAATGCTTTCCTATGGGGATTTTATTTGACGCTGGACTCTGTGAGGACGTCAGATAAGTGCGATTTACTCAGTGTAAATCAGGGAGACAGCCACTAGAATTCAACTTAAAATGCAACTCATAATGACTACTTCTCCAATCCTTCACAACAGCACAAATGTGCAAAACAGGTGTTGTCTCGATCAGACCTGATGCAAATAATTAAGGGCTTAATTAGTTGCACCAGGTGTGCTTGAGCTGGAAAACTTTAAATTCCTGAACTGGCCAGGGGTTTGTTGAGTTTCATGTTTCACTGCATGTTAGAACTATGGCTTAGTCAAAAGAATGGTCCACAAAGTTAAGAGAAGAGATCATCACCCTTCACAAACAAGGAATAGGATACAAAAAGATAGTGAAGGCCCTGAATGTTCCTTAAGACACTGTTGGAAGATTGAACATTCAAAGTTGAAGCAACAGTGGTTACACTACCTGGACGGGGCAGAAAAAGAAAGCTATCAATGGCTGCACCATTTTTCTAAGAAGACTGGTTGTGGAAAACCCTTGAGTGGCTGCAAAAGATCTGCAGAAAGACTTGGTGGCAACTTTTTTGCCCAATGGATCAGTAATATGTCTGGAGGAAGAAGAATGAAGCATACTCTGAAAAGAACACTCTGCCTACAGTTAAGCATGGTGGTTGTTCGGTGATGCTATGGGGCTGCTTTGCATCATCTGGCACTGGAAACCTGCAGCATGTAGAAGGTAAGATGGTATTAGGAAAAACTAAGATAACACATCATGCCGTGTGAGAGAAAGCTGAAGTTTGGGCATCACTGGGCCGTTCAACAAAACTATGATCCCAAGCATTCCTCAAATTTTGCCAAAGACTTGCAGAAGAAGTCTTCAAAAAGTCTACAGTGGCCAGTCACAGTTTCACCCCAACTATACTTGATGGTGCTCTACTAAGTACTAAAGATGCCTGCCATGAAGTGGTTAAATAATTTTGATACCGGAGAAGACATTACAAATTGCATTTTCAGTTGAATTTAGGGAAACCACCTGGAACATTTGTTGTATAGAGCTTTTTCAGTTGCTTTTGTTTAATTTGTTTAATGCAAACACCTGAAAGTCTGTAAATTTTGACAATAAATCTTATTTTAAATGGAGTGGGGGTGGGATTTATCATTTTGATATAGATAGATAGATAGATAGATAGATATATATTGCATACTCACTTGGTTTGGTGTACGTGCCGGATCAATGATGAGACAATTTGAATTTGATACACAGTTTCTACATTTTCTGCACCGTAAAATATATTTTGCCTCCTCATTAATCATAGTGGACCTTTCCATAGTTTTCTCCTGTAAAACAAAGAAAATAATGTATAAAACAAGGTTAGTTCTTACAGTTGCCAAATATCTAAACCCTATACTCTCCTATTCGGAGAAACACATAATACTTTCAAGATTATTCACTAAATTCCAAACTATAACAAACTAAAATTAAATGGATTTTGAAAAAAAAAAAAAAAAAAAGAACTGATCTTGAAAAATTCTCCAACTCACTATTGTCACAGGTTGCGTATTTTAGCCTTAATTTTGCCATTTTGATTTCAATTTGATACATTTCAAAGTTTAGAGGGAAAAAATCCCTTATTTTACTCAAGTAATGAGCTTAATAAGGTTAAAATTGTCATGGAAACTCGGGCACATAGCTAAACTAGAAGCAATGGCAAAAAACAACAAAGATATGTAGAAATAACAAGTGTAGGCTGTCAGCCCCCATCACAAATACAAACATATTCCCATCATGCAAAAAACACACTGGCCAAACAGACAGACCAATGCCACAGCACATAAACAAACACATCACACATACTAACTACTGTGTTGCCGCTCCTTCTGAGATAATGTTACTGGATTGCCTGCAGACATATACAATTATAAACACCAGTAGCCACTGGGCTCCTATACAAATTTAATTTTTTTTTGGTTTTAAAAGTATAGCCATATTGAAATTATAGGAAGATCATGTTGGAGCACGTGGACAAGTTAATATTGATAACTGTGGGTCCATTTAGAGTGGTGTAATCACTAAAAGTTAGTTATGATGAAATGAACACCAGATTATTAGATGTGGCTACAGGGATTATTCACCAACCCGTGATTTGTCAGGAATTCATGGTAATTCAAATTTTAGATCAAAGTAGTTAAACTGAAAAAAAAAAAAAAAAAAAGAAGATGCTAAGCATCAATGTTTCCAATTCGGCTATTGTTATCTAAACTTTGAAATCCCCAAAAAGATAGATTTTCTTATTTAACAATCATTTTTTTTAATACGGCAAGTTTAATCAGATTACATAAATTGTCAATATTCAAAACATTTAAGCATTTCAAAACTTCACATAGATAAATACAAAAGCATATCGGAACTGCACACTTCAAGGTAGGTTTTGACAATCACTACAGTTTCACCCCAACTATACTTGATATATTGTTGACCTTACTGAAAATTTCCATTAAAAGAAAAGATCATACTTGACCCAACTAGTCCATAGACTTATGAAGACCCAGGTTTGATGAGTCACTTGCACATAACCTTATCTATAGGGTAAAGTTTCCATGTGATCACCGAAGTGTGGGTTAGGGTTGCTAATCTGTCCTTCTCCACCTTAGGGCAGGCATCTCTTCCTTTACAGTTGCAATGTCCACTTGATATAGCAGCCTGATATTTGTCAAAAGATCCTTCATGCCACTATTTGTTTCGGGAGTCTTTTTTTCTCATCCAAGTATGTCTTATAAAGGCCCCCTGTTCTTAGGGATCTTGTAATTGTTATCAAAAGTATTTGACACCAATAAATCAGAACATGTTTCTGCATGTGGCCACCGGTCCCTTAAGCCCTATTACAGCAAATCTGGTAAGATGCCCTCTTCTCTTGTACTTGAAACAAGTGGAAATATCAAAAAGTAAAAGTAAACTGTCCATTCTTGATAAAAGCAAAGTCCTAGTCAGGGTTATCATGGTAGGTGGTGAATATTATTAGGTGAGATGTCCTCATAACTTTATAAAAAAATAAAAAAAAAGTTACTGCTGGTCCATAATAGAGGAACATTGAGCAAGGAGCTAATGTAGCTTTTACAAAGACAACCTGGTGACCATTAGGATTATAAGATTTGAGTCCACGGACATCCTGGAACCAAAGGAGACTCGATGCGGTGTTTAAGATGATCTCCTTGATATCTTTAACTGAAAGTTAAACTCTACCTGCATAATTTGGAACTGTTAAAACATGGCAGGAAAATTAGCTGTTGAGGTAGTACCCTGTTCTTACAGTATAGAATAGAAGACGTAGGGTGTTTGCAGAGGGGCAGCAATAAAGGTGAGGCATGGAGGAGGTTTTGTGTATCAATGGTAACTGTTAAATATTGATTTTTATCTGTATGATTATACATGTCTCCTAATTCAAATCTTTTATTCAATGAGAAGGCTAGTCAGGCTATATGGGCTATCAGGAAAAGGAGGGGAGAAAGAGACACATCTTGGGTTACCTTACAAGCTAGACTCAGCATGGTCACCTGACATCTGGGATCCTACCAAGGTCAGTAAAACATAATAGCAGATGACCTGTTACTGTGGGATTATATCCTGCAAATGTCAACCCAGCTGCTTGCATAAAATGACGTGGGCTGCTACAACCCCATATGTATTATATCTTTATGGAAAAATATCAGCTACTACAAAATATATCAAATGTGTCAAACACTTCACAACGACAGCACCTATTAGAAATGAGCAGGACTGGGCAGATTTTATTGGGAATAATAAGAAATTTAAAAGTATAATTTAAGATAATTCAAAATTGTACACATATTAAAAAAGGTATATTATACTACAAAACACACAATGCACTTTGCATTTACCCCAAGTTAAGGTTTATAGCATATAGTGTGTGTTTACTTAATATTTGTCTACACCTGTATACTTTTGGCGTTTTACAAAGCGAGGCAAGTAAGATAGTAACATGTGATGTTTACAAACTTGTTTCTTATACAGTGTGTTAAAACTAATGTAACGGCTGTAAGTTCCTTCTAAAACTTAAACTACCGTGTACAGCACTGAATGTGTGGAATGAAAGCACCTCTGATGTGCCAAGCTGTCCTTTCGGTATATTCGTGTCCTCTGCTTCCGATCTGTGAAGTCAGCCCGGTCACCCAATGTACCATACCCCAGGTAGCAGGGACCAGTATTGGGATCAGCCAGCTTGCCTCCTGCTAATACAGCAGAGAGTCTGAACTGGGCTCCAGGCACTTCCTGGAATCTTGATGTCAGTGGGTAGTCATCACGTGATGCAGCCTTATCCAATGGCTGAGGGCTGATCTTAACCCGTTTGGAATGCAGTGTTTGTGGAGGTTCTGTTTGTAATTAATTGTTCTAAGTGTTTGGATACATCATAGGCGTGCGCAGCCTATTGCATTAGGGTGTGCACCCTAAATCACAAACACACGCCGCGCGTGTGTGTGTATATATATATATATATATATATATATATACGTATATATATATATTCACAGACACACACACTCACAGACACACACTCACACTCACAGAAAGACACACACACTCACACACACTGACACACACATACTCACACACTCACAGACACACACACACACACTCACTGACACACACACTCACAGACACATACTCACACACTCACAGACACACACTGACACACACTCACAGACTCACACACACATACTCACACACTCACAGACACACACTGACACACACACACACACACACACACACACACACACACACTGACACACACTCACACACACACACACACACACTCACACACACACACTGACACACACACACTCACACACTGACACATACTCACACACTCACTGACACACACACTCACAGACACATACTCACACACTCACACACACTGACACATACTCACACACTCACAGACACACACTCACAGACACACACTACACAGACACATACACACTCACAGACACACACACTCACTGACACACACTGACACACACACACACTGACACACTCACATACTCACACACTCCACAGACTTTACACTCCACACTCCACACACATACTCACACACTTTCTGGGCCATACTCACACACTTACAGTGCACGCTCCACAGACACATACTCACGCTTTCCACGGAACACACACACAGACACACTCCCTACAGTACACTCACACACACACACTGACACACTCTCAGACACACATACTCACACACTCCACGAACACACACACTCACAGACACACACATACTCCACACACTCACAGACACACACTCCACAGACACACACACACACTGACACACACACACACTCACTGACTTACACACACACACTCACTGACACACTCCACTGACACACACACTGACACATACTCACACACTCACAGACACACACAAATTATTATATTTTAAAAAAAAATTTAAATGTCCACCCAGCCTCCTACCTGGAGTGCTGGTGGACTTGTCCCTGGGGTCCAGTGGGGGCGGGCGCCTCTCTGCAGCTCAGCGCGCGGCGTGGGAGCTCTCTGCTTCCTCTCGCCGCGCGGGCTGTCTGCTCGAGCTGGGAGCCGGAATATGACGTCATATTCCGGCTCCCGGCATCAGCGCGCGGCGAGAGGGAGCAGAGAGCAGAGAGCAGAGAGCAGAGAGCTCCCTCGCCGCGCGCTGAGCTGCAGGGTGGGGGGGGGGGAATCATCACCTCTTGCCCTCCCATGACAGTGGCAAGAGGTGAGACGGGGGACACTGAGTGCCTGCAGGAACAGCGTTCCTGCTCAAAAGAGTGCAGGAACGCTGTTCCTGCAGGACTCAAACCATAGGCGTGCGCACGGGGATTAGGGTGTGCCCAGGCACACCCGGCACACCCCGTGCGCACGCCTATGGGATACATTGATTCTCAACTCTAAGTATTCCAGCTGCTGTGAGATGCTGTTCACCCGGTGTCGAACTAGATAGATCATCTATGAGTCTTTCTGGGAATGGTGTGAGTGCAAACTGTTCTGTTTTCAGCTGTAACAATCCACTGCATGAAACTGTTTATTAGACTGTCCAGTGACCCAGGATACCATGTAATCCTATTTAAATACATACATTCAAAAACAAAGAAAAGTGTTGCTTGAGCCCTATCCCAAATCCCTGTGCATATTTAAAGGGACACTCCAGGCACCCAGACCACTTCTGCCCATTGGAGTGGTCTGGGTGCCAACTCCCACTACCCTTAACCCTGCAAGTGTAATTATTACAGTTTTTTATAAACTGCAATATTTACCTTGCAGGGTTAACAACACCTCTAGTGGCTGTCTACTAGACAGCCACTAGAGGGCTCTTCCGTGTCCATAGCACAGGAAACCTGTGCTAGAGCGTCGCTGGACGTCCTCACGCTGTGTGAGGACCTCCAGCATTGCTCAATTCCCCATAGGAAAGCATTGAAAAGCATTTTCAATGCTTTTCTATGGAGAGCTCTAACGCGTATTAGGTTTCCTCAGCCAGCGGGCGGGATCAGTCTCACCCACCGGCTGACGTAATCACTGGGAGGAGCGGCGGCGAGCAGACACCACCGCCGAGGGACATCGGTGGGGTCTCAGGTAAGTGACCTGAAGGGGTTTTCACCCCTTCAGCTACCGGGGATTGGGTGGTGGGAGGGATGTAAGCTCACTTGCCAAGTCAAGACAGAACCTCTTATGTGAGTCCTATGCTAACAACTCACCTTGCTGTCCTCAGCTATAAGAAAAAGTCTCTAATGAGCTAGAAGAGTATTTTTCTAAAACCTTATACATTTATTAACCCTTAATAGGGAAAACGTGGATAAATACATGTATTTCTTGCTTTTATGATAACTTGAACCAGGGCCGCCATCAGGGGGTGACAACCACATGGATCGGTGGAGCATTTAGGGCCACCCAATGGGTCCTATTATCTTCAGGGGCCTGATAAGCTCTGTAATAGCGCGTCTGTATGCATGCATGCATGTATGTATGTATGCCTGCCTGTATGTATGTATGCCAGTATGTGTATGTATGTATGTATGCATGCCAGTGTATGTATGTATACCAGTATGTGTATGTATGTATGTGTCTGTCAGTATGTATATGTGTCTGTCAGTATGTATGTCTGCATGTATGTGTGTGCATGGGCATAGGAACCCCCCAAAATCTGAGGGGGATAGCATTTTTACTCGCCGGGTATATTCTTATTCCGTAAACTAGGAGTTGTTTATCCCATTTTGCAGCGCTACGGAATTTGCAGTTGCTATATAAATGATTAAATAATAACATTAAAGGGTCACTACAGGGAAGGGATTTTACTTACCCGGATACAGCGCCGGGATCCTCCTGATGCCGCGCCCCCTATTTTATCAAAATGATGAAATAGGAGGGTGCGAGCAGGGAGCAATAAAACGCTTCTATTCAGAAGCGTCATTGCTCTCTGGTGCGCATGCGCAGCTTTGCCGCACATGCGCAGATACTTCATAGGGCGGCAATCATGTCTCGACTAGGAAGCACCTCTAGTATCCATCTGAGTGTCCACTAGAGGTATTCCTCAGCAGTAATGTAAATACTGCCTTTTTACGAAATGGCAGTGCTTACATTAAAAAGCCTGCAAAGACATGCTATAGACACCAGAACTACTACGTTTAGCTGTTGTGGTTCTGGTGACTATAGTGTCCCTTGAATATAGAGAGGAAAGAAGAATCATCACAAATGTAAGAAATAAAATGTCTGTATCATTATTCTAAAAATTATTTTAAAAAAAATAAAAAAATATGCATATTCCTAGCTTAATTTTTAGCACGACATAAGACACAAACATTTTGTACTTTGCAGATTACTTTTAATATTTTTTTTATACATATACAGATTGTGTAATACTGCCCCTGACTTAGGGTGACCACATTTCCTAACTGTCATTCAGTGACACTGTCAGAAATGCATTCCATAAATTTTACTACCCGTCTCTACCCCTTCCATTTATATTAGAACCCCACCTACCCCTTCCATGAATATTAGAACCAAGGGGTGCATTGTCTTTGTGTGTAAGGGGTGCATTGTGTGTGATTGTGTGTGTGTGTGATGGATGTCAATCTCTCCCCCCTCCCTTGTCACTCTCTTCTCCCCCCTCTCCCTCCCTTGTCACTCTCTTCTCCCCCCTCTCCCTCCCATGTCACTCTCTTCTCCTCTCTCCCTCCCTTGTCACATTCTTCTCCCCCCCTCCCTTGTCACATTCTTCTCCCCCACTCCTTGTCACTTTCTTCTCCCCCTCCTTGTCACTCTCTTCTACCCCCCTCCATTGTCACTCTCTTCTCCCCGTTTGTCCTCTCTTCTCCCCTCCCCTCCCCACTCTCATTCCCCCTCCCTCCCGTCAGATTCCCTCCTGTCAATTTCTTTCTCCCTCCTCCCTCCCTCCCTGTCAATTTCTTTCTTCCCCCATCCCTGTCAATTCTTTCTCCCACCCCATCCCGTCAATTTCTTCCTCCCCCCTTCAATTTCTTCCCTCCCCCCTCCTGTCAATTTCTTCCTCCC